TTGAGAACTCTCGGAAAGGAAATTTTCAGAAGATTGAAAAAGCTTGTTAAGAAAATCCTTAGAATTCTACCTAGAAAAGGGATTCTATAAGAACTGTTTATGATTAAAAGAAGACTTCCCCGTCACTTATGATTAATCTTATAGAGCCTGTTTTAGAAGAAATGAAATCTTCCTTGACACGAAGATAAGAAAAAGAAGGACTGGCTTTGAGCGGTAAGATTCTAGTGAAGAAAGTTTCTTCTGATCTTGATAGTGATGAATTTTAGCACTTTGTTGCTAAAAGATTAAAAAGTTCTATCGAAAGGGTGGAAGGCCAACAGAAAAGTTTAATAAAAAGAACTTTCCCATCCTAAAAATGACAGTAACTTGCTAAGAAAAGAACCTTCTGAAGTGGTTTGTTAATGAAATGCACAAACCTGGACAATATCAAGATAATTGTCCTAAACTGAAAAAGAAAAGTCACGAAAAGAGAAGCTGAAGCAGGCTTTCGTAGCTGCCTTGGAGTGAATTCAAGAATGATTCTAATCCTGAAAGCCCACGTGATCAAGAAGAAATTGCCTAATATCTGGTCGATGGCTACTAAAATCGACTCTGAATCTAAAGAAATCCAGCACTCTGGCTTCAATACACAGAAAGCTGGAATCAACTGAAACAAATGCATACGATCCATGAGAATGATGAAAGCACTGTAAGTATTTCTGAACCCGAATCAGAAAATGATCTTCTAAATACTTTACCATACTTACAATAATCTTTGCAATGAGTTTGAAAAACTTGTTAGAAAGCATAAAGTTCTAAAGAAAGATTTTAGAAAATTAAAATCTGAAAGTAATCTTCTAAAAGATGCTTTTTATCAAGAAGTTACATGCAAAGATCTCATTATAGAAATCAAAGATCTTAAAAATTGTAATAATCGATTTTCTGAAAATATGACACATCTTGAAGAAAAATGTAAAAATCTGAATTCTGAAAGTGAATCTTTGAAAACTGAGAATAGAATTCAAAAATCAATTTTAGAATCGTTTTCTAAAGAGAAGACAAGTTCTAACAAGTTTCTAATAGCTTTCTAAATTGAATCATGTTTCTAAATCAGAAAAAATCTGTTCTAATGTTGTGAACTTTAAAACATCAAGTTTCCAACAAAAAGAAGAATCAATAGTGCCACCTGTTACCAACTAAACCTCCAGGACCCAAATAATGTAGTTGGGTCTAAATCTGCTTGATCTTTTCAGGTTGCGCCTAAGGAGCGAGCTGAAAACTAGAGATGTGGTAGCATGGATCAGCGCCTTTGCTCTAGGCATATGGACTAGTGGACAAAAAGAAGTTCACTAGATTCAGAAAAAGAAAAAGGGGAGGTACGGTAAGCGTTTGGAGACAGCAAAAAAGGTAAGATCGTTGGTATTGGTGTGGTAGGTTCTAAATCCTTCATAGAAGATGTATGTTTAGTAGAAAGGATTACATTTATAACATTGTTAATGTGTGAGTCCAGATTTTTGTGATAAAAAATAGAAGAGTGATATTTGAACCTTCTCAACTGTGAGTTCAGAACATGCATGATAGTAAAACCCTTGTTCGTTGGAAAAAAGGTTTGGAAATAATATTCCTAATAGATCTCTTCTGATATGATAACCAAGGATATATGTTTAGTTTCTAAATTGATAATTCTAAATTGCGTTATGGCATAGAAGACTGGGTCATGCCAAAGCAATGCCACCTTATTTCCTAAACTGTCTAAGAAAGATTTGGTTCGTGTTTGGCCAAAGTTGAAATTTGAAAAAAAGATCCACATTTGTGATGCTTGTCAAATGGGCAAACAAAACCAAGAACTTCTTTTAAATCTAAAGGGCATGGTTTCTACTTCTAGACCTTTAGAATTGGCTGCACCTTGATTTTTATTTGGGTCCAATTACTCCTTCTTCTAGTCTTGGAGGAAAATTCTATGCATTTGTTATTGTAGATGATTATTCTAGATTCACCTGGACACTCTTGCTTAGAAATAAGGATGAGTTATATGACATGTTTGTTCATCTTTGCAAGAGAATGCAAAATAAGAAAGGGTACAACATCTCTACAATTAGAAGTGATCATGGAGAAGAATTTGAAAATCAGAAATTTGATGCTTTTTGTAAAGAATCAGAAATCTTCCATAACTTCTCAACACCTAGAACACCTCAACAAAATGGAGTAGTGGAACGCAAGAATAGAACATTTCAAGAAATGGGAGATGACAGAACATGCTAAGTGATTCTAACTACCAAGTTTCCTTGGCAAAAGCAGTCCAACACTGCCTGTTATATTCTAAAATAGGGCTTTGGTAAGATCTGAACTTAAAAAAAAACTCCATATGAGCTATAACACAAGGTAAGAAAACCCGAACATATCAAGTTATTTTCATATCTTTGGGTGCAAATGCCTTATTTCTAGATACAAGAAATGACATAACATAATTCTTTGATTTAACCATCTGTTTTTAAGATTATGAACACTAATTTTTATGAATTTTATGATATATAGATATGTTTCAATAAAAATTTAATTAAACTTGGCATTCCTAGAACAAATTAGAATTTTCTTTGAGGCAAAATTTTAAATGCTTACATTTAGAAAGTGATGATTTAGGCATTCCTTATTGAATTTCATATTTAGCCTAGTCCACCTAAGTTAAAGTATGACTTTTGCTTCCAATTTGAAACATATATCTAAATTTTATTGATCACCTTTATTAAACCTAGCCATTAAACCAACTTAATTTCATATCCTAATGTGAATACTCAAATTTTGAGGCTCAAAAAGCCAGTTTTCCCGGCCGCGGCGGTGGCAGCCGCTATCGCCGGCGGCTGCGGTCGTCTGTGAATACCCAGAAAGGATGATGACTAGAGCTCAAAACTTAGAAGGATATTTTGGTAATGTTGTTTTCGTTTCTCAATTAGAACCTAAAAATTTAGAAGATGCTCAAAATGATGAAAGTTGGATTCTTGCTATGCAAGAAGAGCTAAATCAATTGAGATAAACCAAGTTTGGAAACTTGTTTCTAGACCTAAAATCATTCCCTGTTATTGGTACAAAAATGGGTGGTTTAGAAATAAGCTTGATGAAACAAGGTAATGTTGGTGAGAAAATAAAGGTAAAAATTATGGGGCTCAAAGGTACAACCAAGGAAGAAGGGCATCGATTTTGATGAACCTTTGCTCCGGTTGCTAGATTTGAGGGCCAATTAGAATGCTTTGTGCATTTGCATGCTTTAAAAAACTCATGTTGTATCAAATGGATAATGAAAAAAGTGCTTTTTCTAAACGGTTTTTTCTAAAATGAAGAGGTGTATGTAGAACAACCTCCGGGCTTTGATGATTTTGATAAACGCTAATCATGGTTTTTTTTTTTTTTAAAAAAAAAAAAAAAAACAAAAAACCTTTTACTAAAAAAGCTCTTTTATGGTTTAAAGCAAGCTCCAGAGCTTGGTATGAAAGATTGAGTAAGTTTCTATTAGAAAATGGTTTTTTCAAGAAGGAAGTGAATACAAACACTATTTATTAAAAACAAAGCCACAATGATATTCTAGTTATACAAATATATGTTGATGACATTAATCTGGTTCTCTAACGACCTTCTTTGTAAGGAATTTTCTAAGAATTATGCAGGGTGAGTTCGAAATGAAGTATGATGGGGAGAATTAAATTTTCTTCGCTAGGGCTTTCAAATCAAACAATGTGAGAAATGGAATTTTTTCATTATCAAGCAAAAATACTAGAGAGTTGTTGAAAACGATTCAAAATGGAAAATGCCAAGGTATGTAGTACACCAATGAGTCCATCGTCAAAATTAGAAAAAGATGAAAAAGGCAAAAGACGTGGATATCAGCTGTTTAGAAGTAATGATTGGTTCTTTGTTATATCTCTAACGGCAAGCAGACGATAACAATACACTTTAAGTGTTTGTCTATGTGCTAAGATTTCCCAAATCGTGTCCAAAAGGAAATCTCATTTAATTGCTGTGAAGAGAATACTAAGATATCTTTTTGTGGGAAACTTCTAATCTTGGGTCTGTGGTCTTCTAAAAGATTGATACATTTTGATCTTGTTGGGTATAAGTGAATTCTGATTTTTGCGAAGCGAATAGATAGAAAAAGTCACGTCTGGGACTTTGTCAATTTCTGGGTAGCGCCTTTGTATCATGGTTTAGCAAGAAACAGACATCTTGTTGCTCTTGTCTACTGCAGAAGCAGAATATGTTGCTGCTGAAGTTGTGTTGCACAAGTTCTATAGATAAAACAATAGTTGTAGACTATGGACTGAAATTAGAAACAGTTCTATCAAAATGTGACAACATAAGCGCCATCAATTTACCAAGAATCCAATTCAAGCATTCTAGAAAACCAGCATATAGAACTCAAGACATCACTTTCATACTGAATCATGTACAAAAGGTGATATCGTGATTGAGTTCAAATCCAACCAGAAAAACAATTGGCAGATATCTTTACAAAAACAAACCTTTGAATGAAAGTCAATTCTACTCAATTAGAAGAGAACTTGGTATGTTAGTTCTAATGTTAGTTCTAAACTCGTAACTTTAGAACTTTGTAAGTATGTTCTAAACTGCTTTCTAATTTCGAAAATAGAAGATTTGTTATGTTCTAATTTTTATTCTGTGTGAAAATTGTTTCTTGTCTAAAAACGCACATTGCTCTGATATGATTTTCTAAAGTCATTATCAGAATTTTGCGTTAGACAAAAACAGTTATTTTACTATGTTTGTTTTTATTGTGTTTTCGTGTCTTTAGTGCTTTGGCGGTTTTAGGGTTTTATTTTTTTTGTTTTTGTTTTATTTCCTTTATTTATTTTGTCTTATTGGTCGTTTTGAATTCCATTTAAAAACTGCTCTTTATTTCTTCCTTCCGCCACTTAAGTGTCTTTATTCTCCATAAACTGCTTAGTATTCCCTTTATCGTCTCTTTGCTAACTGAAACCCTAAGTTGTTTTTGAGTTTCGAAATCTACAACAATGGCCGAATCTAGTTCAAATTCTTCATTCGACTCTCTTACCGAGCAAGAGCTTCAACTTTTGAGGAAGCTCTCAAAGAAATATGAACAGAAAGAGTCGAAGGAGAAAAAGGCAGAAGAGAAAACAAAGAAAAGAAAAATTGAAACGACTACTTCACAGAAACAAGTAGCGAAAGCTCGTGAAAAAGGTAAATCAGTTCTCTCAACTTACCCTCTCATGTGATCTTATGTGATTGACTGGAAGTTCTTTGGTTTCTTTGGTGGTGATTGAGTTTAAATTTTAAGGAAACTCCTTTGAGTTTCCAAAGGCTGGATGAACTTTCTGTATTTAAATGCACTAATGTTTGAGGTTTAGTGGAAGGAATTTTATGGCTCGTTAAAAAGTTAGTGGACAGAGCGATCTCCTGTGAAAACTTTCAGGGTGAGACTAGAGAGTTACGTATGAATGAATTTTGGGAAAATTTTTGGTTAAATTCCAAATGTTCTGGGTCCAAGGTGACCAAAATCAAAGATGTATCTAGGGTTAGCGACTACAAAAAGGAAGATTTTGTGAGAAAAATTGTGAAGAAGTTGTCTGCAGACAAACAGGGCTCGATAGAATGCTCTAACTTAACAGAGAGCATGAAATGGCTGTACAAGCTTATTGTTCATTACATCTATCCAAAGAGCGCCTCTTTGACATATGTGAATCAGATAGAATTATGTATAATGTGGCACATTGTTGAGAGAAAACCCCTCAACCTATGTCACATTATTTTTGATAAGCTACAGAATAATCCCAAGAAGCTACCTTACGGGAAGCTACCCTACGGGATGATTCTTACCCAGTTTTTGAGTTTCTGAAATGTTAATCTGGATGAGCATGGTTGGGCAAGTTCTGTTTCCCAAGTTAGATAGCGGGGTCCTTAAAAATGAAGGACGAGGAGGAGGAGAAGAAAAAGAAAAAGAAAAAGAAAAGAAAGAAAAAGAAAGAAAAGGAGGAGAAATGAAGGGAAAGGAAAAGAAGAACAAAAAGAAAGTAAAAAAGAGAAGCTGCTAAAAAGAAGAAAGAAAAAGGAAAAGGGAAGTTAGAAGAAATAGTGAAAGAAGAGAGGAAATCAGAAGAGAAAGAAGAGGAAAAGAAGTCAGCAGAAAGGCAAAAGAAGAGGAAGAAGGAACACAGGAAAAGGAATTAGAAGAGGAGAAAAAAGAAGAAACAGAAAAGGAAAGTACTGTAGAGAAAGAGGAATCAGAAAAAGAAACAGGAAAGATAGAAGAGCCGAAGAAGACAGAAAAGGGGAAGAAAGTGGAAGAAGGCAGTGATGCTGAAACTGAGAAGCTAGAGATTAGCGATGAAGAAAAGACAACTGAAGATAAGACACCTGAAGATAAGACAGAACAAGAGTTCTGAGTTGCTTATCTGCGAAGACGCGGGAAATTATGCTGGGGAGAATAGAAAAGGAACTCATAGAGGAGCACAACAGGAAATTGATGAGGCGATACGCAGTGTCAAACCTATTATTTGACAGAATCATCACTCATCAAAAACCTTGGAAGAAAATGAGGATGTGAACACGAGGGAGGTTAGCCCTCTCAGCGTGAAAGGGACAAGCCTAGCATCCCCTGTCCTCAGAAAAACCCAAAGAATTGTGGAAGCAGCACTGCAGGGAAAGCAGCAGGACTCATGGAAAGAAGCTCCACTACACCCTTCTTCTAAAAGGCAGAGTAGCTTCTTCTGAGAACTGTTCAGCTCAGAACCTGAGAAGTTCTAAGAGACTTAGAACTGGTTCTAGAGCCTCTCTGATTTTGTTTTCTTTATAATGTTTTTGAACATTTATTTTTGCTTTATCTTCGTAGGATTTATATTGTGGAACTGTTTAATTTTTTCTTTCTTTCTATTTTTGCCTGTGATTTTTGTCTAACCCTTTTATAATGAATGACAAAAAGATGATGACAAAAAGGGGGAGAACAAGTATTTTGGTGATATTTTGAACACTATTGGTACGTACTTGGCAACCAAAGTACTTATATAGTAGTTATCTGTGTGCTAATATTTTCTAATCTGTATGTTTATCATTTTCTATATGGTCTATGTTGGTGAGCTACATGATAAGATATGTGATTTTAGAACTTACATTCTTATTCTAACGACTGTTTTGCAGACTTGAATATAAGATCTTTTGTTCTATTTCTAAACATCAGCTTTTATTCTTTTGCTCTGACCATATGTTCTGTTTATTAGAACTTAGAACATCTTGTCAATCTTTTCCAGTTCTAATATATACATATGCTCTGATTGTTAGAACTTAGAATATCTTGCCTATTTTTGCCAGTTCTAAAATCAGTTTCTAAAAAGGCCTCCCTAGTTTTAATTTTCATAAAACAGTTTTAATGCATCTATTCAGGGGGAGCAAAATACATGTTCTAATTTGCTCTATACTAAAAATATTTTGGCATGATTAGAACTTATATGCATAAAAATATGCCTAAAATTCAGGGGGGAGCAATGGTTTTATGGTTTGCTAAATTTATTGGTTTTGGTCATCATCAACAAGGGGGAGACTGTTGGCTCAAGGGTATTTCTAAATCTCGAATTTTGAATGATTAATTCAACTAATAAATTTAAAATTATGCTTATTTGTGCTAATTTTATTTATGGCAGAATCTCTTTGGAAAGAATCAATACCAGGCAAGTCCTACATTGAAAAGTGTGAAGATTTCGAAAGAACCTAGTAGCTAGGTATTTAGGAAACTTTGTAGGATAGAGAGAAAATCCTCATACTTTGAGCACAAAAATCTTTTTGTCTCCTTCAAAAATATTTTTCGGAAAATTGTTTTCTTCAACAACAATTTATTTTTTCGACATTATATTCCTTTAAATGCGAAAAGCTTTTAATTTTCCTAAAACTACAGAGGAATTTTCTGCTTAATGTTTTTTGGTAAAATACAAAATTACTCTCTTTTTCGGAATATATTTTGAAAGATCCTTAATATACTTAATTATTTTCTTACCTTAAAAACGAAGGAGAATCTCTTTCGGTTTTTAGTAAGAGCATTCTTCCGCAATAATATCTTTCCAAAATAAACGCTGTCGAAAATCTTTTCTAAAGGAAAGTGAAAATCGGGTTTTATTCTCTTACCAAAACGGATAAAATAGATTTTTGGTAACAAAAATTTTCATATCTTCTAAATAAGGAAAGAAGATATTCTGATTTCAATCTCTTTCCAAAGGTGACAGCTTCTTAGTTTCCTATATAAAGGAATGTTCATGCCTTAAACATTTGGTGAAGTAAGAGTTTTTGTTTTAATAGCACTCTCTCATTGAACGAATCCTTATCTCTGAAAACTTACTCTCTACCCCCATTTTCTTTTCATCTCTACACTTAACGTTTTCTATATTAAAGTGAAAAAAATTTTTACAATTGCTTTTGAAAAACAGTTCTGTATTCTAACTAAGCTTCTAATATGATAAAACTGTTTTTCCTGTGCTTATATAGGCGTTTCTTTCTGTCTATTTAGATTGTGTAATCTATAGTAGACAGGCTCTTTTTTTGTTAAACTTTTGTGTGTAATAGCTTACTTTTTTGGTGTGTAATAGCTTAGGTTGAAGCTATTGAGATAGAGGTTATCAAGCGACCTTCTCATGTGTGGGAGATAGTAAATGTCTTGAATGCGAGTTTTCTGTACTCTTGAAAAACATAGAAAGGGGTTGAGGTTTAACTCGAACCTTTGGAAATCTAGTGGGAGCAAAGGGTAGATTAGGTTTTTGATCTTGCCTTGTAACTGTTGGTTTTTGTCTCTTACCCTTTAAAAGAGATTAATTAGTTGAGGATCCTCAAGATGCGTCTTGGGGAGTGGATGTAGGCGAGTTAGTTGCCGAACCACTATAGTTAGTGCCGAACCACTATAATTCTCTCTGTTGATCTTTTATTTCTGAAGTTTGCTTGATACTGTCTTTATAACACTTTTGTTTAATTTTTAGAAACGCTAAAATTATTAATGATTCGGATGTTCTAAAACGGTAATAAGTCTTATCTATTCTGAACTTTAGAACTCTGGTATTCTAATAAAGTGAATATACCATATTCTAATTGTTGTTCTATTCACAGTATATTTCACTATTTGGGTTTCTAATTAATGTTCTAAACTTTATGAGGATGTTCTAATCCTGATAGCATTCGATCATAAAGTCATTCTGATATTTGATTAAGGCTCTATGAAGAAGTTCTAAATTTAATAATCACGTAGCTTTATATGATTTTGCAAACTTTATGAGGAAGTTCTGAGTTCGATAACTTTCCTTCATAAAGAAGCAACTTTCGCTTTCATAAAGAAGCTCTGATATTGTACAAGTCCAGTGTGAAGCTGTTCTAAATCAAATAGCTTGCAACTTGCACAGACTTCTATATTTGAAATTAGAATTGTGAGGAGATTCTAATCCATATTTCTACTCTCACAAAGTTCTATATGTTTTCCGCTGCACTTAGATTCTAATTTCTGTTTAAAATTTCTAAACTTTAATTTTGCAGTTTTTTAGAAAACGCCAATTCACCCTTAGAATTCTAATTTCTGTTTAAAATTTCTAAAATTTATTTCAGTTTTTAGAAAACCCAATTCACCCCCCTCTTGGGTTGTGCCATACATATTTGGGACCCACAAATATATCATGTAAGAATTGCTAATTATATATGGAAAATCATGTACATAAATCCAGCCATATGAGTTTTCCAAAATGAAGGATCATTTTCATAAAATAATGAATTTATTCATTTCATAAATTATAAATTATCAAAAAGCTAATAAGATATGGATCGTTATACAATATTTATGCAGATTATAATACCATAATTCTCTAAAGCAAATTGAAGAATATTATTTTACACGATGTGTAATGTAAATTTTGATGTGTATGATTCAAGTATATAGAATAAAATCAATATAAACTTATCTTTTATTTGCAAGGCCATTAGGTTCTTCTTCTTCCATGTTCTTGAACTCTTAATTGGTGAAAAGTAATTTGCATTTCCAACAGACGACATCAATTGATGAATCTCATTAGAAGATGGATCGATGCTCTATTATATTATTGTGGAAGGTGTGTTCCATGATCACCGCACCAATTTGATAGAAGTAAAAAATGAATGAAAAGATAAATAGAATGTATTGATAGAATTATATTTCTTTCCCTTCTAATAGCATATATGTATAAGGTAGACAAAATAGTTGTTGTCCCATTATGAGCGAGAGACAAAGCTATTAAGTACTAAATGAGTATCTTATAAATGATTTCTTTGACCGAGTGTTACTTTTTTTCTTTGTAATGCTCGGTATAATAGTTGTAATGCTTAGTATAATTGTCGTAACAATTGATATAATTATCATAATGCTCGGTATAATTGTCTATATTAAATATATTTAATACCTTTGATTTATTTGTTAGTCTATCAATATTCATCAATAAAATAGATAAATAAATAAATGTATGTTCATGACATACATTCATTTATTCATCTTGTTGCAAAGGAAATTTTATCTTGTGGATGCTGGATTTCCTTTTTGTACTGGATTGCTAACACCATACAAAGGTGTTTGTTACTATATGAAAGAATATTCAAGACATGGACCTCAGAATGCAAAATAATTATCCAACTACTGTCATGCATCTTTGCGTAATGTCATTGAGAGAGCTTTTGGAGTTGTCAACAAAAGATTTCCAATTATAGCTAGTGGTAATGAACGTAATTACTCATTCAAAACCATGGCTGAAATAGTATTAGCATGTTTTATAACACAACTTTCCAATGGGAGTAGATCAGGATGAAGAATTATTTGCAGAGGTTGATAGGGAGGTTTATGCAAATGAGTTTAACACTCATGTGGTAGGTAGTATACAAAGTAATGAAGATGATTCTAGGCAATTTAGGTTTTACGAGACAATATAGCTGCAAAAATGTGGCATGATTATCGATGTAATTCGTAAGTTAAATTTTGTTGAAGACATGGATTTTGCTGCTAGCATCTATCGTTATTTATTTATACTAATATATTGAACGAAGTAGACTTATTATTGATATATGTTGCAATTTATATTTACTATGATGTTTATTTGTCGTGATATATTAATATTATGATACAATGTAAAGTGAGTTATGTTATTGAAAATGTTAAAGAAATAATGCTTTACAAATCAAAAATGCCTAGAACAGAAAGAACTATTGAACTCGTTGGAGCAAGTTTGAAAAGAGATAATTTTGTGTGGAAACTCGAAATGGATGATTTGTTGATAGATGCAAAAATTAAGAAAGATCAAAAGGGGAATCGACCAAATGGAACATGGAATAGTTATGTATTTATGAACGTGTTAAATGTTTTAGAAATGCATTTGGACCTCACATTTAGCCAAATACCAAA